CCTAAACTTACCGTTTATTTGCAGCTGCCTCGTCGCCTTTCTCATTGGTGTCGGTCTCCATCTCTTCGATGGCATAGCTTTCATTTTCCGACTTCTTTGTTGAGTCTCTACAATGATAAATATAAGAAAAAAATTGTCATCCTAAATTAACAACTGAAGACAAGAACTAACTCCTTCTCTGCTTCTTCCATACATTCACTCTCCGCTGCTTCAGGCTCCTCAACAATTGGAGAGTCTTGCGCCGTCTCTTTAATGTCCACTTCTGTGACTTCAGTAATCTCCATTTGCACAGAAGAATTCTCATTATCAATATTTTCTGCTGGAATCGCGTTTGCGGTTTCATCCTGAATTGAATATAAAAACTATAAAAGAGAAATTTTGAAATTCATGTCACCATTCACCTGATCAACATCGTCTGTATCCATCGAAATGATTTTCTTCACGCAAATTTCCTCAACAATAGGCTCCGGTTCCTTTTCTGCATCCTTATCCTCAGCGATAGGCTCTGGCTCCTTTACTGTATCCTTATCCTCAGCGATAGGTTCCGGTTCCTTGTCCTTGACTAGTTCTTCATCAGCAGCAGAATGCTCTGGCTCCTCGACTTCCTTGTTGCCGCCGATGGGCTCTGGCTCCTTAACTTCCTTGTTTCCAGCAATGGTCTCTGGCTCACTATCTTTGACAGGTTCCTTATTATCAACAACAGGATTTGGCTCATCTTTCTTTGAATCTTTGTTAGTATTGAGGAGCTCTGGCTCCTCCTCCGCTATCTTATCACCGGAGTCATCAGATTTTTCAAATGTTTCAGCATTTGGAGCGTTACGGTCTTCGTCATTTACAGTGTTGTTGAGTGCTTGATCAAAATCTCCAGGACCAGCTTCCTTCACCGCTTCTTTTTCACCATTCTTCACTTCTTGTCGTTCTGCTTCTTCATTAATGTCACTATCTTGTTTTTCTTCCTCACGAATGATCGATTCTGATGCTAAATAAACGTTTTCTGACGTGGAAACATATCAATGATGAGATAATAATAGGCAGTAGCGAATAGAAATGGGAGGAGGGGTGGGGGAGAGATAGAAGGAGAAAGACACCGCCTCGCGAGAATTTAACGTGAATTTTAAAAGTGATATACAAGACCTATTTAACCAATGAATGCGACTAGACGTAGAAATGTATCAATGATGAGATAATGGCAACCAGTAGCGAACAGATGCGGTG